ACAGGTACTGTTTTTTAACCCCATTAAGTACATCCCATCCAGTGCATTAAAATGCAGATTCCCTTGGACGATTCCGTTTATCTCTGCTTATCACAACAAATCTGTGTTTTTACAGGTCGGTTGATTTTAATGTATTTCTTTTAGTAAAGGAATTACTCTATTCAAGACGAATTTCATCGTCGAATTTTAGAGGCTAGTAATGTAGTATAAACTGAACTGCAATTGCTGTAATAGTATATATAAATGCATTGAGGTTCTTGATCGTCATAATTTTTAAAGGGTACCGATTTTGCGATGCGATGTTAAAGTTGAAATTTACAATTCATTCGCCCTGTACAATTCATTATGATATGAGCCTAGCTTAATATTTGACCCTCTATCATATTTAATGGTACATGGCTATGCTTAATATATGACATTTACAATTTTTATGGCTTAAAGTTAAGCATGAAATTTGAACCCAAATTTTATAAAACTTATATTTAAATTGGACTTTGTACCATTTTTACTGTGCGTGACTAGGCTTGAAATCTGATTCTCTATAATTTTTTGTGGTACAGGTTGAAATTCGATTCGGCCCTGTATAAATTTTTTATGGTGCAGCGCGTGTACTGCTGCTATGGTTGACTCTGTACAGCAGTTTATTGCACGGGGTTAAATTTAAAATTTAATCCTCAAGAATTTTCTATGGTACAGAGTTAAGTATGAAAATTTGCCCTGAAGTATTGTTTAATCATAGGTGTTTGCTTAACATATGACCATTTATATTCTACCCAGTTAAGTCCAATCAGTACACCGAAAATAGATGTTTACCACATAAATATACATTATACCATTACCATATCATATAAATTTTGGTTTGTTTTATTTTATAATTTTTAAGTATTGTAGCATTTATCCTGTAAGCTGGGTAATTTTAAACAAATTCGTACTTTGTCAGTCTGGTTTTTGTTCTCTTTTGCTCAGAATTTGCTCTAAACGTCGGCTAGAAACAAGATTTTAAATGAGGAATCTGTTTTTTACATATAACTTCACCATACCTTCCTTCTAAAGGCTTGTTGTTTACATAGCTACATTTATACATTCTGCAGTTTTACGGGTTTTAGAATGTAGTAGTGTTTTGCTTTTCAATGAAATTGAATGTTTTGCCTACAACTGCTATTTATTCCTGTGAATATAAATCTAAAATATGTTTTGAATATGCATTTTCGCTTGTTTAATATATTCTTTTTTGCTTTTAGCTAGATCGCCGATTTGAATTTCGCGGCCGCATTGGCTATTGAGTGTGAACACCTGGTATTTAGCGATATTTGGACTGCTGGAAATTAATTAGTTTGGCATGTCAAAATTAAAGGGAGTACGGCTTCAGGGTGAGATTGACAAATACCGCATGGAGGGTCAGTGGCGGAAAGTGTTCGAACTTTTACCTAGCGTCAGCGCGAAGGGCAGCAATCTGGAGCACATGTCCAATTTCTATACGGGCGAAGTGATGTTGGAATTATTCATGGAAAACGGAAAGGCTGTATCTAATCCTGATCCAAAATATGCGGTTGAATTGCAATCCATCAAGAAGTATCTGTTGGCCGTCTTCGATTCGGCTGAAGTTAAACCTGAAGTTGCTCTCGAAAGCAATCTGCTTTTGTCCAAACTGTATTTCGTTAGCGCCAAATACGAAGACGCGTTGACGGCTTTGAGTAAAGCGAAACTCGAGCAGCTCGATGCCAAGTTTACTTCCTTAAGAACGCTACGGCTCGTTGCCGAAGCGTATTCCCTCAAGGGAACTTGTCTCGAAACCGACCCTCCGAAACTGGCCAATCGTCACCAGCGATCCGCCCGACAGGAGAAGATTCTCGACTGTTTTCTGAACAGTACGAAGTTGTCTACTGCTTACGTCAAGGTACTGCAGTTGCGTGACTAATGTTGGGTTGTTGTTACTGCTATGGCTTGGGGGGGGAGTTAAAGGATATCTTATTCATAAG